GTTGCCGTAAAAAAAAAAAAAAAAGTCTGTATGTCTAGTATTATTACTAAAATATTTATAAGTGAGAAAAAGAACATCTTGTTAAAAAAAAGTTTTTATCAAAAAACATTTTATAAAATCGTTTTCACATGATTTTCCTCAGCGTGCTAAGTCTCAGATGTATATCCAGTATTATTTCTACAATATTTATAAGTAAGAAAAAGAACATCTTGTTTAAAAAATCAAAAATCAAAAATTTAAAAAAAAATAAAAACTTTATTTAAAATCATTTTCAAAATCGTTTTCACGTGATTTTAAAGTTTTCGGTTTTAAATAAACCAATCATTTTAGTTTTTGAATACTTTATAATACTTAAAATTTATAAAGGGAAATACAGTAAGTTAACCGATTACTTAACAATCACGGTCGAAAATCAACAATTGCCAAGCTTCTTAAGACACATAATCGTCTGCGAATATTCTGGCAAACCTAATTACAAATGAAAACGAAACTACTAGACAAGAAGAAAGGAAACCCGTTACTTTCACAGTACCCAAAAATGACCCAGATATGTGGGAACAGGAACATTTTAGTGGGAATAACCGATTCAACAAACACTTAACGGTGTTTTGAATTGTAACAAACTAGTTGGAACGGAAAGTGGAAAAAGAAAGAAGAAAAAGGAGAATGCGGCGAAACTTGAAAAACGAGGGAAAGGGAAGGAAAAAAAACTTTTTTTCCCTTACTTGCTTTTCAAAAAACTCAGGAAACTAGTTCTACGCAATACCGTTAAATGAATTCAGAAAGTTTCCTAAAAAACAACTATCGGTTGAGAGAATGTTGCATAAATTACTGCAATAAAAAAAGCAAAATCATCCATTGAATTTTTGACTTTTAATTTGGAAATATAGGGCATTAATAAAAAACAATATCAATCAAGAATTTCTCGAAAGCTTTTATCGAATTAGAGATAATTTAGCAGTCTACCTTCAAATAAAGGATATTTACAGACAAATTGGTTCAACTTGTAAAGTATTTCATGTGCTTTTAATGGCTATTGTATTTCAAATAAAATGCTTTAGAATAATAAAACATCGTAAATAAAGGACATAACTGTAGTTTCGGTTCCATCAACAAGAACCGAAACTATCATGTCCATTTTTGTTCTTTATTCCCGTTCTTTACCTTTGTTCACATGCAACACTTCATTTGGATACTTGAGCGCGAAAATGTTTCTGTTGATATTAGTTACTATCATTATTAATTATTCAAATACTGGGATATTAATTATTAAAATACTGGAAAACCCAAATTCAGCGATAATATCAACTATGAGGACAAGACAAAATACTTTTACTCATTTATTTATTTATTTCTGTTTTGGCTTCAGATGGTAAACGGAAAATTTCCGTCTGGCCTTAAAAAGTAATGATACATAATTTTAAATTTTTTAAATATATAATTCTTATTTTGGATAAGACTTTTAGCTCACGCAAATAGCTCAATAATTTATTTCCTTTGAGTACCTACACGCTTTTCTTATGAAAAAAGAAGGGAAAAAAAGCATTTTGATTAGAATTTTCATACTAAGTAATTTTCCTCGAGGCAAACAGAAAATATTCAACCAACTCATTATATTTATTGACCCTTACTTAACCCTTTAGTTACAGTTAACCCTTTATATATGTTTGGGGCAAGTAGCCCAAAAAATGATCTTTTTTTCCGGCAAGTTATCACAATTTAAAAGAAATAATAGCACTTTCACAAATATTTGGAGAATAAGAACGAGCAAATAAATCTATACGAAAGAACAAGGTTTTGCTTCTTCTTTTTTTCTTCTTTGTGGAAAGGCTAGAACAAACTGATGCATTTAGGATACCACTAAATTTTCCAGTCAAAGCTATTTCAAACAATAACACCATATTTCCATCGTTTCTTATCACTGAAATAAAAATAATTTGACAGGGATCATGTCTCCTTATCTGTTAATCCACTGTTATGATTATCAACAAGAAAAACTCCAGAATTTCGGAATAATTTACGATTTACGAAGATGAACACAAGTCATCTAATATTCGAACTAATCTAATTTTTATTAAAATACAGTTTCATCACAAATAAGCTCGCCAAATAAAATAGAAATTCGCCAAAGATTTTAAGCATCTTAAAAACTGAATATCTCGCAAAAAAGAAAGATTATTAAACAGACAAAAATATGACATATTTAAAAAACTTATTCAACTTTTTTCAAGAAATTACTAAATTGGTGAGATTTTTTTCAACTAGATGTTCAAACTTTTATGAGCTCATACGAGTGCAGCGTTGAGGTAACTTTTCAAATATTTTATTTTTAACAGCTGTTGAACAGCCGATCCAATTTTTTGGGTTTAAGACTAATAAATGTTCACCAACGTATCCTTGTAATTTTTAACCCAATCCAGAAGACAAGGGAACTCCTGAATTAAGTATTGGGGGGGGGATTTGCTTTCATGGAGGACTTTTTCATGGAACTAACCCGCATTTGCGTTACATGGAGAGGAAGAACAAGTGAACCTCTCACGATAAGCCTGACAGCAAGGGAGCTCTAACCTATGATCCGTCTACCACTGAGGACATTTCACGTCAGCACTGTGTTCGGTGCAAGCCGGATGCGGAATTCGCATCGACCAGCCATCGCTGGGTTTCGAACCCGGTTCACCTCATTGGAAGGCGAACGCTCTATCGTCTGAGCCATTGTGACTCAACTTTTCAAATATTAAAAAAAGTCCCAAACGTTTTTATTTTTACAAAGCTGCCGCCCTTTTCTTCATTTTGTGCAATTTTCATAACTAACAGAGGGCGCTGGCGAAAAATGGTTTAAACTGACTCTAGCCTAACAGTCGTCAGTAATTGTTGCAAATTCACAATAATTCAAAGAAAGCATTATTTCGTGGAAGGAAAAGGTAGAAGACTTACCTATATCCCGATAGTGCTCTAATTGTTTGGGTGAAGATCGTGAGACTGCCTCGTGTAATTCTTCGGGTATAGGCTCCAGGAACTGATCGAGTTTCTGATTGTTGTTTTCCCGGTTTGTGACTGTTTCTTTGAAGATGGTGGCTAAATCACTGAAATCTACAGACTGGATATCGTCGACCAGTTCAGATTTTTGATCACTGCTCAATTTAGACCAGAATTTCAAGAGGTGATCTTGGCCATAAGCAGCCAGCTGCTTCTGGAGGTCGTCAACATCCGCTGACGGCATCTTTCTGCAAGAAGTCCTGAAAAAATTACACAAAAGAAAAATTGTACAAAAGACAGACTAAGATCAAAACGAAACGGGATTTTTCCCGTGTCAACGAAACTACCATTTAGTGGGGTTATATTTTATATCCGTCGTTGAACAGCCGACCCAATTTTCTGGGTTTACGACTACTGATGTTCAACTCCATAGCCTTGTAATTTTGAACCAATCCAGAAGACAAGGAAACTCCTGGATCAAAACCCACAGAGATATTGATTTGCTGTGGGAACATAGGAATTTGCGACTCGACAGATTTAACGCGCATCAGACACCATTTACTACACGGGGAGTCTTCGGCTGGTGGAGATCGAACCCACGACCCTCTTGGACATTGGCCCAGTGCCCTACCAACCAGGCTATCCCGTCCCTTAGTGGGGTTATAGTAATGTTTTAATATAGTGGATGTGATATTTTTCCACTGGTCATTGCAATGGGATTACATGATGGTAAGTAGGTATTTTATTTACGCCGCACTAAAGCTGCACAATGAACCAACGACGACGGTCTGGGAAACATCCCTGAAGATGATCCGAAGACATGCTATCGCAATTTTGATCCTGTGAAGAGGGGATGGCTCCCCTTTCCTGGTAGTCCGACGACCTGCGTGCGAAGTCGATCACTTTATGGTAGAACAGTTTGTCGAGAACCGATATGGCGCACCCTCTGTCCTATATAGGCTAATCAAAGTGGTCACCCACCAGCTTACTGACGGCATACAGTGATGCGTGACTTCGGTATTTTACTGGGAACCATGACTTTATGGTCAGTTCACTGCGGGACGGATTACATGACGGTAAAATTTAATATTGCAAAGTGGCCATCTTTATTTGGTCATTAAAATGGTATTACTTGATATTAATGCCTGATTATTGCAAACTGACAATCATTGTTCATCACAATGAAATCCAAAATGATAACATTTAATTATTGCTAAGTGGCAACTATCATTTGGTTATAACAATGAGATTATTTAGCTTATTTCATTTAATCTTAAATCAGAATTTTTTTATTTTTATTATTTTCAAAAAAAAGGAAAAAATTACCTTTTCCTAAGGGTGAAAAATGGAGAACTAAACAGTATCCAACAACTTATGTTTTAAAATGAAGAATTTATGATCTCTTAAAATGCGAAAGTATCTATTCCCTTAACTTTAGTTGAAGTGGTTGATATTGAAAGATAAAAGGTGAAAAATCTTGTCACTACGTATAATCTATTTATCCTAAACTGAAAATAGATTTTCCCAAACTGAAACACGTATAATAATAACAACGTAAGAATGAGGATCTGCACTTGTGATTTAAGTTCCGGTTGAAAGACATTCAATAGATTTGAAATTTAAGTATATTTACTTCCCAAACAAAAAAACGGCGATACTTTGAAAAAAAATGCAAATAAGATAGCGATATTAAAAAAGAAACAGAAAGTGATAGGCCTCGGTGATAGAAAATTTGATAAACAGTTTCTCTATCTTTACATTACAGTTTTTTGTTGTTCATCAAGAATAATTCAAATTTGTATTGATAAGATCTTTTCTTTTAAAAAAACTATAATGAATGCTTTAATTTTTTTAAATTGATGAAATATGCAACGGACGATATCATCATGTTCTTTAAAAATTAGGTACTTATCAATTATAAAGACCATGTGTTGGCGACTATTTTTCAGAGTTGTTTACAACAAGAACATTAGTCCCTTTAGTCGACAAGTACGAATTTTAATATCACGATGTATTCTCTATAATATTGATATTTAAGTCGCCCTCTTATTTTTCCAAATTAATTGATTTATATTATTTTTACATTGGTCATAATATTTTCGTTACCCAAATAAAATTTAACAACACACAATATCGTATTTAAAAATTATCGTAATGTATATAATATTGGCGATATATACATTACGATAATATTGGCGATATTCGATTATTGGGTACTTGCAGTTCAAGAAGATCACAAAATCCACACACGTCACGCATGACGTCAGTGCCAGCTGATTGTTTATAAGCAAATTAAATATAAGCAAACGATTATGTGGAGAAAAGCTAAGTTTCTCCACATAAGTTAGAATGTTAATTAACGTGAAGTTAATTAAATACAGCTCTGTATCACACATGAAATTTGTTGAAATATAATTCTTTCCCGTCTGCGTCTTTTATTTCACTTAGATTTATTATTTGTTCATGTATTTTAGTGCAACACGTGATATATACTTGTTTTGTGTACCTGGCAACTTCCATGCATATTTAGTTTGCTTATGTTCTACATAGCTTCTTGTCTGCCTTTGTGTTAAGTTAGAATTATATAGTGAAAGAATGTAAATCTTTATGAAAGAATCATAGTGAAAGAATATAAAATGTGTCACCTAAGAGAATTGATGCTTAAAGGGCTTGTTCCAAACAGAATGGGAAGAACAGTTACTTACGTAAACAAAAGCCACGTTTTAACAACCAATCAGGAGCGAGATAAGCACACTACCTCACTTGCAGGTATTCCATTATAGTTATAGTTGCAGTTATCCTATTATGGTATCCCGTATAAACTCTTATTTACTCGAAGGACCGGTAAAATATCTCAACATTTTATTGCAAACCGAAATGGTTGAACTAATGGCATAATTTTTACAACGACAAAATTGTGGCCATAAATCAATTTTTTTTAATCAGATGATCATTCAGATCCAATGAAAAGTATTTTGAACCTATTTAATTATAAATAAAATTTAGATTAATTCCATTACTAACTAAAAGAGGATTGAACTTAATTTTCTTAACAAATTATATTGAAAGTAAGATTTACAAAAATTTAGCTGAATTTTATTAAATAATCAAAAGCTAAACGAAAAAAAAGGAAAATTAGTTACAGATGTTGGCGATCTAACAAAATTGAAGCAAACTTAGTTCAGAGTATAGTTCAAAGTAAACAAAGTTGAATAGTGAAGCCGAAATAAGCTTCAATTTTAAGTGTTAATCATTCAAACCTACTTATAGTCCAAAGTAAAAAGCTAAGTTTCTGTAAAAATGATAATGAAAAATTCATTTACGATTTAAAAGAATAGATCTCACGGTGAGCNACATAAATTTCTTATCTTTTTCAGCTGCCAAAAGGTATAAGTCCTAAAATTTTTAAGATGCTGTCATTATTTCAATAAATACTTACGTTTTTATTTACACATCCTGTACATATCTTGTTTTTTTGCAGAGTTTACACCTCGAAAAAAGAGTTTATACACTTTTCTAATTAAATTAATAAACCAGGAATTTTAAAAACTAATGTATCAAAAAACATTAATTTTCTCAATTGTTGTGTTTTGGACTTAACCGCATTGGCTTCTGAGCGACTCATATAATACCCAATTGTATTTTATGATAAGTGAAAAACATCATATAAACTCACGTGCGAAGAAAATTATAACTTATTAAATCATCAAAAGATAAACGGAAAAAAAGGAAACTTAATTACAGATGTTGGCGAACTAACAAAATTGAAGTAAACTAAGTTCAGAGTATACTTCAAACAAAGTTAAGCCGAAATAAGCTTCAATTTTAAGTGTTAACTATTCAAACTTACTTAACATCACAGATGTTGGCGAACTAACAAAATTGAAGTAAACTAAGTTGAGAGTTTAGTTCAAAGAAAACAAAGTTGAATAGTGAAGCCGAAATAAGCTTCAATTTTAAGTGTTAATCATTCAAACCTACTTATAGTCCAATGTAAAAAGCTAAGTTTCTGTAAAAATGATAATGAAAAATTCATTTACGATTTAAAAGGATAGATCTTACGGTGAGCAATTAGTGGAAAAAAATCTTATCAATTTAAAAGGGAAAATTATACAAATAGAAAAACTGTGACAAACGTTGCCTGAAAAACAGTGCAAACGCCGTATTCACATAAAATGTAATATAATAAATAACAAATATTAAGGAGGATTTGAGAAAATAATACTTACGACATTCTAAATTAATTAGAGTAGACAAAAGTTGGCCGAGACAGAGATACATATAATTCAAATAAAACAGGAAGTTTACTTTTATACATATTACGGTTATTTAACTTGTAAATTTAATTTTTTTACCCTCAATGCCATGTCAATGCTATCCACCCATAGACGGGTTTGGTTGGCCTACCTCGGAATCTGGTTTTAGAATTGATCAGCGATTATTATTCCAAACTTAAAATATCTCCCAAGCTTTTTATTATCTAACGAGGACAAGCATTCAAAAGCATTTTTTAATTACATGACGTCAATTATAAAATGGCTCGTAAATTTTCCTCAAAAAAATTATGTTAATATTTATTTAATTTGAGGTATAAGAACAACTATAAAAAAGAACCAAAAGATAATCAGAGATCAAAAGTCTAGAGGGGAGGCTTCCGATTTTTTATGGCCTTCTATATGATCGAATACTACTCCTATTTAAGGTTGAAGAGGACAGAAACGTTAAAACGTATACAGTAAAACTTGTGTTAGTTGACCACTTGTGGTGCATTGTTTTAGCGGTCAACTTAGACAAGTGGTCAACTTATAGAGGGGGTGGGTCATTGTTCACTTTTTTGTTTCCTGTATCATGTTGCTGTATATTAAATTTTTTTTTTTTACTTGACTTAAAAATTTTATTCAGAAAATATGCAAATGAATATCTTAAGAAATGTGTTTAAACCTGAATAACTTCAATTTGAAACATATAATTCTAATATTTAACTAATTTTTTCTAAAAAAAATATTTCGTTAGTTATGCATGTGAAGTGTTTAATAAGTATAATTTCTTAAAATATCAGAACACGAAAACATGCAATTTGAAAACTTTAACAAAATAAAATTATTTGAACACTTTAAAATTTCATAGATCAAAGACCATAAATAATGGATCAAAGCATATTTCAGAGCGTTCATTTATTCAAATGCTCACTATTGCGACTGGAAGAGCAACTTTTCAACTAACATACCTGTTTTCAATGAACGGATGAAAGAAATNAAAA